TGTATATTATATTTATGGGTGTATATATACATTTCTATATATATATGTATACATGTAGATATATACATGTACAAGAACCACGCGCGCTTCGCGTGCGCTCAGGTCATGCGCTCAGTCGCTCCACGTTGTGCGGCCATCGGCGCCGCGCTCCTGCTCGGCGACATTCGATGACACCCATGCGCGAGTGCCCCTGTGGCGCGCAGTCGCAACCAGAAAGCGCTTGTAGACTGTCGGCGAGCTGCACTCGGGGCGCGTTGCAAGAAGCGCCGAACGTGACAGGAGAGAAGGGAACGAGTAAACTGCCGCCAACTCGGTGGAGCGAGCGCGTTCTGGGAACACAGTTCGGGAACACGGTCGTAACCGCCGTTGTGTGTTCCGTCGTCTTCGGTGGACGAAGTTGGCGTCGCAGGAGAGTTGCGAGGGTGTCTCAAAAGAGAAGGGCTGGACCACTCTGCGCGCGGCAGCTGGGATCCCAGAGATGCACGTCAAACTGTTCAGATCACCTCGCGCGCCAAATCTGGGAGCCCGGAGTGGTAAGGATGTCTCAGGAAGATGGGCCAGACCACCTCGCGGGCGGCGACCCGGAGCGTAGCATTGCAAGGACGACTCAGGGGAACTGGGCCAGACCAGACCGCGCGCGGCATCTCGGAAAGCATGGTTCCGAGGATGCCTCAGGTGAAGTGCATTCCACCACTTCTGGAAGGGTCTTCCGCCAATTTCGGCACGCCCCTCACGCGGATCGTGCCCCCTGGGAGCTCCACATACGGTGCCAGGGTCAAAGTTCGCATGGGGTCCCTCCGCCCATCTCGGCACACCCTTTACACGGATGGTGCCCCACAGGAAGTTAGTTTTGCGTACGCCCCCAGTGGGAGGATTCAATTGGCGTCCCCCCATTCATGTCGACTCACTCCTCGCACGGATCGCGCCCCACAGGGAGCTCCACCGACGGCCCCAGAGACAAGGTTCGTATCCCGCCGCCCCGCCCATGTCGGCACACCCCTGACATGGATCGTGCCCCACAGGGAGTTCCACGTACGGTCGCAGAGAGAAGGCTCCCAGGCGTCCCCACGTTCATTTCGGTACACCGCTCACGCGGATCGCGTCCCACAGAACCCTCCACCGACAGCCCCAGAGCGAGGGTTCGCGTGGCGTCCGCCCCCGTCTTTCGGCACACCCCTGACGCGGATCGTGCCCCGCATGGAGATCCACCTATGGCACCAATGGACAACTTCGCGTGGCTTCCCCACGCACACTGCGGCGTATGCCTCACGGAGATCGCGCTCCATGGGTAGCTCCACTGCGGCCTCAGTGGGCGCGCCCACGCGGGGGCCACACACTTCACGTGGATCGCGCCCCACATGGAGTGCGGTGCGCCTCCGCGCGTCACCTCCGCAGCAGCCTCCTCTCCGCACTGCCCCGCGGCGCGCAGGATTTGAAGAGGGTCGCGCCATGAGCTACACGCAGCCGCATAGCCTTGGGTCCTTCGCCAGGCTAATTGATTCGCCTTCTTTCTATCCGCATGCACGTAGGCATACGAGTTAACATACATAGACAAACATGCGTGCATTCATGCATGCATATGTGTATACATGCATTCGTACAAACGCACATGCGTACACACATACCGTATGCGTAGGACATTGACACAGTATACGTACACATTCGTAAATACATACAGTTACACATCGAACCATATACAAACAGTATCTGTGCCTGGTTCGTGAGTCAGGGGCTTCTTGGATGCCTCTGGGGGTCTCGCGGAGTGATTCTCATGGGCCTCTGGAAGCCTCTGCAGGGCCTCTTGGGGGCCTCTTGGCGCCTCTTGGGGGCCTCTCGGGAGCTTCTGGGGGCCTCTTGGGAGCGTCCTTGGGATCCTCCAGGAGGTTCTTGTGGGCATGTTGGGAGGCTCTACCCCAAGATCTTGCCCCACGACCTCGCTTGTGGTCCTCTTGCTCTTGGGGCTCTCTTGTGCCGTCTTGGGCGCCCCTTGGACCGTCTTGGGACCCTCTTGGCTTGTCTTGGGGCCCTGTTGAGCTGTCTTGAAGCCTCCTTGGGTTGTTTTGGACGCTGTGATAATCCAAGTAAGCGAATATGCTAAACACATACGTTTTCGCCAAGGGATGCGACGATTTTGGCTTCCTGGGGCCCTCGTGGGAGCGCTCTTGGGGCACCTTTGGGGCCTCTTGGTCCCTTTTGAGGCCATCTTGTGGCGGCGTGGAGCGTTTCGGGGCTTCCTGGGGGCCTCCAGGGCTCTCTGGAGGCCATCCTGGGCGCTCTTGCAACGCTCTCCGGCGGTCTCGGACCCCTGAGGCCTCCCGGGGAATACGTTCGGGGGAGGGGGTCCAATTTACAAGGGAGGTCGCGGCATGGGGATGTATGTGTGTGTATATATATATATATATATATATATATATATATATATTTATGTGTATATGTATATGTATATGTATATGTGTGTGTATATATATATATATCAATCCCTTTCCCTCTCGTTCTCCGTCTCCTCTCCTCACCAGCTCCGCCTCTGTCTGCAGGGATACCTTTGATTGTCAGCGTCCCATTGCGCTGGCATCTGGTCGGTACAGCGCTGGTTGCAGCTGTGTTGTGAACTCCGACAAAGGATGTGGGGACGCATCGCAGCGAACCAGCCAAACAACGTTGCAATAGGGTTCTGTGCAGCACACTGCGTTGAGCGTGTACCTCACCTCACTTGTTGTTGGAAGACTGGGCGGATGGCAGAGAAAATATCCAGTATCAGCACGGCACCCAAGCCGCATGTGAAAGAGAAGTGCCTCAGAGGCGTCAAACGCTGCGGGCGCGGGGGAAACACCTGTAAGGACACATCATCTCTTTCTTCATATCTTAATCGCTCCCATCCCCCCTCTCTTTCTCCCCCTCATTTATATTATTCTCTTTCTCTTTATGTATATATGGATATACACACACATATATATATATATATATATATATATGGTCGATCCCCCCCCAGCGACCCCCCAGAGCGCCCAAAGCACGAATACACAACTCAACTTTGGCCTGCCATCCAGGCTGACGAACTCATCCGCTCGGCCCATCCGTCACGGGCACCGTGCGCGCAAGCATATCGGTTTCGGCCGAGGCCACGAAACACTGTGTATCACAGGTTTTTCTGGTTTTTCTGGTCTGGGAACCAACGAAACACTGCGTATCACAGGTTTTTCTGGTTTTTCTGGTTTCTGGAGCTGAAATGCTCGCCGCGGCCTCGCCCCACCGCTCCCCCACCTCCTGTTTGTCGGCACCTGAAAAGTAGAAAAACTAGAAAAACCTGTGATATACAATGTTTCGTTGGTTCCCAGACCAGAAAAACCAGAAAAACATGTGATACACAGTGTTTCGTGGCCTCCGAGCAAGGCTCTGGTTCTGGTTCTGGTTCTGGTTCTGGCTCTGGTTCTGGCTCTGGTTCTGGTTCTGGTTCTGGCTCTGGTTCTGGTTCTGGTTCTGGCTCTGGTTCTGGCTCTGGTTCTGGTTCTGGTTCTGGCTTTGGTTCTGGTTCTGGCTCCGGTTCTGGTCCTGGCTCTGGTTCTAGTAGAAGCAGAGGCGAGGGGGGAGATGGAAGAGGAGGGGGAGGATGAGGGAGAGTAAGATGAGGAGGAATACTTCTCGGGCCACAGCCCGCTGTGACAGACCATGTGTCTGCGGCTGTTCGGTGCCAGCATCTCAAGACCGCGGCTTCGTGTTTTGGGCGTTTTGGGGTGTCGCTGGGGGGGGGACCGAGCATATATATATATATATATGTATGTGTGTATATATCTATATAGATATATTTTTTTCTCGCTCTCTGTCCCTCCCAGTCGCCCTCTCCTTAGTTCCCCCCGGTCGAACATTATAGGATCGGCAGGAGCAGCGGATGACTTGCGCCTGTCGAAGTGTGAGGGGTCGGAGCGGCTTGCTGGGGACGACTGGCGTCAGGCGTCGGCCCCACCCCGCCCCCTCCGTCTTAACACTCCCCACGCGTATTTGACAGCGCGGGGAGCGGGGACGGGAAATGGGGGGTTGGGGCGTTGTGGGGAGGGACGGGGTGGAGGCTGGGGGTGTGTGGGTGGCGGCAAACGGCGGGAGGGCCAGGGTAGCGGGGAAGCGGGGGAGCGGGGGAGAGCGCCCTCTCGTCTTGATACAACCCACGCGCATTCGACAGCGTTGGGAACGGGGAAGGGGAATGTGAGATGGGGCGTTGTGGGGAGGGACGTCATGTCACAAGGTCGGACTAGAGTCAAGCTCAACAGGCTCTTCTTGCCTCGCTGATTCTTCCAAACGTGTTCTCTTGGCTGTGTTTTCGCTAGATAGTAGGTAGGGACAGTGGGAATCTCGTTGATCTATTCATGGGCGTCACTAATGAGATGGCGAGGCATGTGGCTACCTTAAGAGAGTCGTAGCTAGGGGAGGGGGGGGGCTGGCGGTGGGTGGGTGCTGGCAGACGGTGGAGGGGGCAGGTAGTGGGGAATCGGGGGAGCGGGGGAGAACGGGATATGGGTGGCACTGGTGTAGGTTTGACACCCAGCAGCTCTGTCGAACTTGGCCTGACGTCGCACTTGCATGCTTGGGTGTAGTCTGAGTTTGCCTCCTTCGCGTTTGAATGATGTTTCTCCCGAGGGTTTTGGAGGGAGTTCGCAGGTCTCTGAAGCGCAACTTTCCTTTTGAAAGTTTCCGTGCGGCGGACTGCTCGGGGGGGGAGTGGCCATGCTGGTTAAGATGCGAGGGAAAAAGAAGAGAATGAAACCCACTCGCGAGGGTAAAACATGCAAGTGTGAAGCAATTACCGGGCGGGGAAAACAGGTTTGTAGCCCACATGTCTTTCACCCTCAGAGCCCGAGGTTGAAACAACGAGAAATTGTTTTCACCCTCGCTGTTTTTACCCATGTCCCCACCTTCACGGTGCTCGTAATGTTCTCCTCCCTCTTGCTCCCTCTTGCTTTGGCTTTGATCCCCTCCAGCAGACACCCGCCAATCCTGCCTTCGCTGAGGTGCGCCCGCCCCGACTGCGCACGGCGGCGCTGACTCTGGGCGCATCGTGTACGGTGCTCTTGCTTTGACACCGTCTGCTCTTGCATTGCACGTTGCCTTCGCGATCTACCAGCCACGCGCAGAGGGGGGTGGGGGGAGGGGGGAGGGCTCCTTAAGGCACCCCTGCTTCTCAGAAGGCGCGGGCCTTCCCCTTCCCCTTCCCCTCCATCCTTCTTAGAAGCAGCCTCCTTGTAAGAAGCCCTTCCCCTTCCCTCCACCCCCTTGTGCGCGCCGCCAAATCTAGGAGGCCTCCACATCGTATTGTGACAGCTCTGAGTTGGCTCCGTCGTATGTCCGCCACCTCCAGTATGCAGTGCGGCTGTGCTCTGCAGTAGCTCTGGCACCGTACAGTCGTCCAGCGATGGTGCCACAGCTATCTCTGGCAGTGATCTCTGAGGCAAGTCGGTCGAGAGGTGAAGTCGCATGGCGAAGCGCACCAAATGTCGCTGAAGTCTTGCGAGCATTGGACCAGGGGTCCATGCGCCGTCCTGCAGAGCGTCCACGCCTGTCTCCTTCTCTGTCTGCATCGCTGTCTCCATCTCCGTCTCTACCTCTCTATTGTAATGGCCTCCGGCCAGTGCCGCCGATCCGGGGCGCTGCCGATGCGTGTGGGAACGACCACGACGTCCCTCCTCCCCCCGCTGCCCTCCTCGGTTTCTTTGCCCCCCCCCCCCCGCTTGAGCTCGACCCCCCCCTCCGTCCCCGTTCGAGCTTCCTCCTTGGACCCCCCCCCCGCTTGAGCTCGACCCCCCCCCCGTCCTCGCTCGAGCTCCCCCTCCCCCACCCCCCCCTCCGTTCGACCTCCTCCCCCCGTCCTCGCTCGAGCTCTCCCCCCCCCCCTCGATTCTTGGACCCCCATCCCCGCGCTGACCCCCCTCCCCCCCCGCTTGAGCTCGACCCCCCCCTCCGTCCCCGTCTCTACCTCTCTATTTCTCTCGCTCTCTCTTTCTTTCATCCTCCTTCTTTGTGTGTGGCGTGACGGCAATGTTTCCCAGCCAGCAGCTGTCGCTGCCTCCGCCGCGCGGCAGCGCCTGCCCGCTGCCTCGTTGCCCCGGCGCCCCGACGCCGCTCCCGGCCACTACCCCGTAAGGGGCGGGCCGTCTCTTCTTGTCCTTGCCTCTTCTCACCGACTGGGTGCGCGCGCGGCTCTGCGCGCGAGCGCTGGCCGCCGTGGCGACTCGCCTGGCCGCGACGATCGAAACGTGTGTGTGCGTGTTTGTGTGTGTGTGTGTGTGCGTGTGTGTGTGTGTGTGTGTGTGTGTGTGTGTGTGTGTGTGTGTGTGCGTGTGTGTGTGTGTGTGTTGCGTTATTGTCATATGCAATGTGTATCGTATTCGTAATCTGTATGCACATGTGTATATGCTGGTACTGTTTGTCTATTCATATATGACTGGGCTTATACGTATACACACTGTGCAGGCATGAACCAATGTATATTATTATGTAGTTGTGTGTGTGTGTGTTTACCCATGCACATGTATATGTATATGTATTGTGAGCTGCAGATGTACCTGCATACGACTAGATGTACATACATACACATGCATATGTGCTGGTATATGCATATGTACATGTCCTCGTATCTGCGTATCTGTGTATATGTGTATGTGTATGCGTAACCATACGTACATACACATCTATGTGCACACATACATATATACATATCTATTTGTGTGTATGCATGTGTACATTCATATGCATATCTATATGGATGGTAGGTGTGCGTGTATCTGTATTTGTGTTTATAAATGCACACGTGCACCTATACTTATATTTTATGTTAATGTTCATGAATGTATTTACAGGTATGTACATATAGATGTGTATGCATATCCGTGTATACATACATGTTTTTGTCTATGCAGCTGTATGTGTATATACATGTGTGTATGCGTATGTATGTATATCGTACCTCTTGCGCGGTAGGCTACCGTATAGGCGGCTTTAAGTCAGACGCATGGAACGCCATGGATTTGCTCAGAGGATTTGAGCTGTAATCCATCGGCCTCGTGCGTAGAGGCTGTTATACGCCTTGGGCAAAAGCTCGGACCGGTGGTGGTGGCGGTGGCCACGGTGATGGTTCTCGGGGGCTTGTAGCTCTACCCCTCGCCATCATCCTCGAGCACGTCCGCCCGCAGTCGCTACGAGTCTCTCATGTCGGCAAGGGTGTTGGGAAATCCGCAGGCAGCGGTGCCGACGCCTGCGCCTCCCCCCCGAGAGGTGCCCCGGCCGCGGCGGTCGACGGCGGCCATTTCCTGGCCAGCTCGCAGGACGCGCACGGCGTCGCTGCGGAACGCCATCGCCGGCAGGTGCGGGCAGGGGTGCTGCTTTTAGTCATGGGTGGGCTGTTCCAGCGTATTGTCGGGCCCAACATGCTCAAGCTGTCGTTTGCGCGCGTGCCTCGCCTCCTGTGGTGCGGCGTTCCACGTGGCGCTCGCGGCGTTCCACGTGGCGCTCGCAGCCGCTCCCGAGATTCTTCCGCCCATTTCTTGGAGTGTCGGCGACATCCCTTTGGGCCCTGTTTGTTCGCCGCCATTCCTGGTCGTCCAAGCTGGCACCTTGAAGTCTATACAACGAGATTTGCTGCCCGCCCCCTCCCTCTCCTTCTCCCCATCTTCGCCCTCTCCCTCCCTCTTCCCCTCTCCTTCCCACTCCGCCTCCTGCTCCGTTCTCCTCCTCCTTCTCCTCCCTCTCCTCCTTTCCTCCTTCTCTTCCTGCTTCCTCTCCCTCCCTCCCTCCCCCTCCTTCTGCCCCCCCCCTCCTCCGCCTCCCTCTCCTCGGCCTGCTCCCTCGCCTCAACCTCTTGCATTTTTCCAACAAAAAACCAATGTGCGCGGCGCTAAGGCGAGAGCCACATTTTGAAAAGGAACCGCCCTAAACTTTCGTCAAACTTTTGCAATCTTCAAAAACGAATGTACACGGCGCTAAGGCGAGAGCCACATTCTGAAAACGTGCCGCCCTCAATCTGTGAACCTCTTGCAATTCAATTGTTTAAACGAATGTGCGCGGCGCTGAGGCGAGACCCGCATTTTGAAAACGTCCCGCCCTCCATATGTGGAGCTCTTACACATTTTTGAAACGTATGTGCGCGTCGCCAAGGCGAGAGGCACATACGAAAAAAAACGGCCCGCCCTCCATCGGGGAAGCTGTTTTCAATGTTTGAGTTTCAGGGCCGGCCTGAAAACTGGCCCGGGGTGCGACAGGGAGATTTTTTATTATGGAGAGGAATTGAGGAAACGAGGGATGATGATGATAATGATGATGATGATGATGATGATGATGATGATGATGATGATGATGATGAGGATGAGGAGGAGGAGGAGGACGAGGAGGAGGAGGAGGAGGAGGCGGAGTCGCTGGCGGAGGCGGAGGCGGAGGAGGAGGAGGAGGTGGAAGACGAATTAGAATACTAATACTAATATGAAGACTAAGAATAATACTACTCACACTAATAAGAATAATAATAATAAGAAAAAATAGAGTAATACTAATAATAGTAATGATAATAGTAATATTAATGATATTAATATTAATAACAATACATAATAATCATACTACTAATAATAATAATTTTCACAATAATAGTATGATTACTAATAATACAAATACCACTACTATTCATAATAATGATAATAATAATAATACTACTACTAATACTAATACTACTGATGATGATACTACTACTAGTCATAGTGGTAGTCATACTACTAATACTAATAGTAATACGAATACTAATACTACGAATAATACTATTAACAATAGTAGTAATAATAGTAATAGTAATACTATTAATAGTACTAACAATAATAATCATCATCCTAATCATAGTAGTATTAATACTACTACTACTACTACTAATAATAATAATATTAATAATACTAATAATGACAATAATACCACTATTCATAATCATAATATTAATAATAATGGTGATAATAATAGTAATAATACTACTAATATTGATGATAATAATAATACTCATAATACTAATAATAATACTAATACTACTACTAATAATAATAATTAGAATAATAAGAATAATAATAATACTAATAATAATACTAATAATAGTAATGATAATCATAATAACAATGATAATAATAAACATAATGCTAATACTAATAATAAGCATACTACTCATCATCATAATAGTACTAGTAATGATAATAATACTAATAGTAACAACACTACTAAGAATCATACGAATCATACTAAAACTGAAACTAAGCATAATACTAAGAGGAGAGGAGGAGGAGGAGGAGGAGGAGGAGGGGAGGAGGAGGAAGAGGAGGAGGAGGGGGAGGCGGAGGCGGAGGCGGAGCGGAGGAGCAGGAGGAGGAGGAGAGGAGGAGAGGAGGAGGAGGAGGAGGAGGAGGAGGAGGAGGGAGGAGGAGGAGGGGGGATGAGGAGGAGAAGGAGGAGGAGGATGAGGAATGATGATGATGATGGATGATGATGATGATGATGATGAATGATGATGATGATGATGATGATGAATGAGAGGGATGGAGAGGATGATGAGGAGGAGGAGGAGGAGGAGGAGGAGGAGAGGAGGAGGAGGAGGAGGATGAGGACTAAGTGGGCTAAGTGCAAAGCGACCTAGGGGTCGCGCGGAAGGGTGGGCCACAGGCCTAATCCGAGGAGCTCAAGGGGGAGGGCGGCGCGGGCGGGTCCCGTCCCAGGGCAGTCCTGGGTGATGAAGCCGCTGCCGTCGTGGCCGAGGTCGGGGGCGTCGCGCGCGGTCGCACACGCACCGCGCGCAACTCGCGCGCACCCTCGGCCGACGCCGACGACGACGAGGGGCCCCTCGCCTCGACACCATCCTCCTCCTCCCCCTCAACAGCCTGCGCGGCCTCCTCCTCAAAAAGTACAGTTGCCTCCGCAGCCTCAGCTTCTTCTCCCCCGGGTGGGGGTCCAAGGGGCTGCGAGGGGCTCACATTGTCTGGGTCCTGCACCGCCATCGCACTGGAACGGGCCGTCTCTGCCGCGTCACGGTGCATAGCCTCGCGGACGGCCCGCGACGGGCCCTTGTGGGAAGGATGCAGGCCTCTCAGCACTCGGCTCAGCACCTCCTGACCCTTCGGCGATGGCTTAGGCGGGCAGGAGTCCAGGATATTCACATATCTGAAGGTGGCGTGTGACCCACACGCCGTGCACAAACTTACTTTCCACTTGGGTGTCTCAACCAAGCGGTGTGAAGGGTGGGCAGACTGGCCGTTGAGCTCTCTCCCCCCAGCCTCCAACACCGACGCCTCTCCCAGACGAGACAGTTGCCCAGCGGCAGGGCTAGGCACAGAAAACGGGCCTGGGCACTGGGTGAGAGCCGTCTCGTCCAATCTTCAATCATCCACGAGCTGCACACATCTGTCACACCGCCACTTCTCGCCGCAACGCACGAACTGGTGGGTCGAGGCCTTGAGACACAAGGCACGAGTGGACAAGGAAGCCTGCCGAGCGACTCCCACTCTCTCTCTCTCTCTCCTCGCAAATCCTTTTCGGGGCCAATGCTCTTGATAATGGCCCTCGCTCTAGCACGGACATGGGCAGCTGTCGCATCCCACTGGTCTGTGCACGGAACGGGATCACAGGCAGCGGTCCAATTCTTGGCAGCACCTCTGCCCGCCCATGCACCTGCCACAATATTACCGCATGCATAAAACGGGTTGGTGATGACCTCAGGCGTCTCATCCTGATGGGACGGGTCCACACCACGGCCACATCGCGCCAACGTTCTTGCTCCAAGGCCCTGCGCAGCCTGGCCCAGAGGTCCGAGTTCTTGAGGCGCCGAGACCAAGCTCCAGGTGGCCTCCGAGCCCAACCTTGACGCCACCCATTGAGGAGAGGCTTATGGTCGGTCACAAACGTCAGAGGCCCCGAGCTTTCTTTAACAGCAATGCAAGACGCGAGCAATTCAGCACGTGGGGCCGTCTGCCGTCTACCCTCGTCTGGGGTAAGCGCCGCCACCGACCAACCACACCGGCGCCTCCGAGGATCATCAGAAAAGGCCCCTCCAGAGCCGTCCCCGAACAGCGTGAGGCGCCCATGGGGGTCTCTGCAGGCTTCCCACTGAGGCCGACCCTCATTGTCAGGACCCACCACCTCCAACCCACCCCCGTCCCACGAGGCATAGGGGGGAGTAGTGGATGCAAGGCTAGGCACTCCTCTAAGCCAAAGAGCTGGGTCCTGATCCAGACCCGCTAGAGCTTGGGGCACCAGGTGATCACTTGCTGAAGCCGCAGGGCCCTCATTAGCCGAGCACTTCCAAAGTCTGTGGGGGAGGTCCTCAATGGCCCCAGAGTTACAACGATCGCACGGGCGATTGACCAGATACCCAGCCTGATGGAGGCGCTCTCGAGTCCACTGACCTCCTGAAACAATGCAATTGTTCAAAGCCCATGACGATATTATTCCACTCGACAAGAACCTCCGCTGCTCAATCCTGATCGTGAGCAGGTCTGCTCCCGAGGCGGGAGAGGCACCGTGCTCGTGCGCCGCCGCCGTCGCCCAGAGCCTGCTCTGGAGGTCTTCGCTGAAGTCGTCGAGGACGGGCTCGTAGTCGAGGTCGACTGATTTAACTCCATCATCTGGGAGTCTCCATTCCTCCAAGTATTCATCATGCACGCGTTGCCAGCAGTAAACCGCTTTGGGATGCCAGCCAGCTTCCAACAGTGTCGCAATCGCTGCACCCGTCGGTCCAGTAACATAGGACTAAATCCTCGGGCCCGCGATAGTGAGCTTGGTCTTGAGCAACGACCAAGTCCGTCGAATGCGCTGGTGTAGGTGCGGCTGATCCTGCCAGAATCGAATCCACTGTCGTAGTAGTTGCACGCGAAGCTGGACTCCAGGGTCAGCTCCGCCAAAGGTAACGCCCAAGAGAGTCGTGAGGCAGCGACCCGCCGCCTGACCAGTGGCCGCAGCTGCCGCCTGTCGACGCCATCGGAGTAGAGCGTGACGAGCGAGCCCTCGACCTTGATGGCCATGCATTCCCTGTGGGAGCGAACAAGTGGCCCACATACCCTTGGCGATGCGAGCCTGCTTTGCCGTGCTCCTCATGCGCGCGATCTTCGAGGTCCTGGTGGAGGCCGCTCGTGCACGCTCCCCTGCCTCCTTCCGGACCCTGCGCGTGCCCGCCGCCATGTCGACGCCAAGGTCCGTGGCCGTAGTCGTCGCAGAAACAGGAACTCCTCGACGACGTAGATTGCGCTCCAATCGTTCTCGTACTTGCCTGTTGCTCTAGAGCGCCGCAGTCTGGTCCGAGACAGGGGTCTCCGCTTGATCAAATGCCGACTTCAACTCACCGCCAGCTTTG